CCAGTTTGGAGCTATTATGAAGAAAGTTACTGAAGCATTCATATGTAGGTTTTTAGGTGAACATGGGATTTTATTTCTCTGGGTTAAATGCCCAAGATTGCAATTGCTGGGTTCAATGTGTGATTAATTTTACAAGAAACTCCAAACTTGCTGGGCGAGGTGACTTATTCCTGAAATTCCAGTGATCCATGAGGCTAAGGAGGAGGAGGACCACAGGTTCCAGGCCAGCTTTAGCAATTTAGTGAGACCCTCAGCGACATAGTGAGACCCTGTCTCAAGATAAAGAATAAAAAGGGCTGGGGACACAGCTCAGTGGTGAAGCACCCCAGGCTCAATCCCTAGCACCAAAAATAAATAAGAGAGAGAAACTGTCAGACTTTTGCAAAGTGCAGTGCCTGGCCATGCAGGCGCGCTCTACCTCTGGGCATCCTCACCAGCGTCTGTGCCGTGGCTTCAAGTGCAACACAGGTGCACGGGTGACGGCCGCTGGAGCTGAACAGCCCTGCCTGGGGCTGATTCTCGTCTGTGTGTCCTGGCTGGGGATGTATGTCTGTCAGTGCCTGTTGCTCTTTTTCTAATTGAATTATTTGGGGGTTTCCTTCTGATTTTTCAGTTCTTCACATATTGTCAACCCTCTTCCTTTGTGTCATCTGTGTTTTGCACGGTTTCTCTCCGACATGGCTTTAATTTCCATGCTCATGACAGAGAAGAAGCTTTTTATTTTGGTGAAGTCCAATTTAGCAAATTTTTCCTTCTATTTATTTATTTATTTGTGTGGTCCTGGGGATCTAAACCAGTGTTGCTCCACCACTGAGCCCCATCCCCAGCCTTTTATTTTTGTTTTGAGACAGAGTCTCGCTACGTTGCTGAGGCTAGCCTCAAATTTGCAGTCCTCCTGCCTCAGCCTCCTGAACCACTGGGATTACAGGTGTGTGCCACCACACTCATCCTTTTTTTTTTTCCTGAGATAGTTCTCACAAGTTGCTGAGGCTACTTGTGATCCTCCTGCCTCAGCCTCCTGAGTAGCTGGGATTACAGGCTTGTGCCACAACACAGGCTTGATTCAGTTTTGAACATTGAACCAGACTTGCATGTCTAAAATAAACAGCCTACCTATTTTTCTTGCCCGCTATCTATCTATCTATCTCTCTCTCTCTCTCTCTCTCTCTCTCTCTCTCTCTCTCTCTCTCTCTCTCTCTCTCTCTCTCTCCCATTTGATGATGAGTTCCCAGAGGGCAGAGGCCTTTGGTTAACTTTGTTCATTGCCTAAGACAATGCAGCAAGGACTCAGCTCTTACTTATTGGATGAGGCAAGGAGCGAAGAGAGGTGGAGGGACTTCCCACGATGATGGCAGAGGGAGAGTCCAGGGCACGGCCGTGGTGGCCAGCCAAGCTGGGCGGAGGTCACGAGGCCCGGGGCAGCCTGTTACGTCTGAATGACTTGAGAGGAGGGTAAGACAGCCAGCCAAGAGTTTGCAGTGGACCTGGTGATGACCACATAGAGACTTTTATAAACATGATTGACAGAGCGGAACATCCACACAGCGCAGTCTTAATCGGAGCTGAGAAGACGAGCCATCAAGCACAAAAACCCACGGAGGAAACTTAAACATATACTGTTAAGTGAAAGAAGCCCATCTGAAGAAGCCCAGTACTAAGAGTCAACCCAACAGCACTCCCGCGGAAGCAGAACTGCGGAGATCAGCGGTTACCAGGGGTTCGGGTGGAGGGAGTTTTTTGTTGTTGTTGTTGTATTGAGGTGCAGAAAAACCCAGGGGTGCTTTATCACTGAACCATATCTCCAGCCCTTTAAATTTTTCCTTTTTTTATTTTGAGACAGGGTCTCCCTAAGTTGCTTAGGGCCTCACTAAATTGCTGAGGCTGGCTTTGAACTTGCCATCCTCCTGCCTCAGCCTCCTGAGTCGCTGGGATTACAGGCCTGTGCACCACGGCTCCTGGCTATGTTTATACATTTCTCAAACCCAGAGTGAGAAGCCAGATTTGTTTATGTTCTTCTGGGGGGAAGTGTACGTGCACACACGTGCTGAAGGCACACACGCATGCACATGCTCAAAGCACACACTTTCATACCCATGAGTGTGCTTTATACATTTTTCTGTACATCTTGCTTTTTTCCCTTGACGTATCATTGAAACTCCTCTACATCCCCCTTGCCTGAAAGCATTCATTAAATGATGCAATTTCCTGTCACCTGTTTATACCCATCTTGGGATTAATGTCACCTGTCACCTGTTGAGGAGCATGAGGTCCTTTCCAAATTCTTGCCAGGTAAGCAGTGCTGTGGGGAACAACCTCAGACATTATGAACGGCTGAATTTCTCCCCAACTCTAGCCCCATCCAACCCTGCCCATTCTCCAGCCTCTGCCTCAAGCCAGCCCAGCCCTCCCGGACCCCCGTGGGCCACTCGGAGCCACCACTCATCTGCCTGAGTCTGCCTCTATTCCATGCCTGGTGCTGGGCTGGGCCTTGAGGTGTCCAGACTGGCGGGTCTCACTGGAGTCAGAGGACAGGGGACAACTCACCAGGGGACAGTTATTTAGAAACTGAGTGCTGGGATAGAAACCTTCTGCCCCCTGGAGGTCCTGGGGAGGGGCTCTGCCTGGTCAAGTTCCCTGCGAGGCTTCCTTGCTGGCTATGAGGGGGAGGAGTAAAAGAAAGGCCATGGGGTGTGGCACCGAGGGGCAGACCACCGGTCGCCCTCCACTTGGGTGCTGGCTGGCTGCGCTCCCCCCACCCTCCTTACTTTCAGAACTGATGATCCGTCCTGTTGGAGGGGCTCTCCCAGACTCACCCTGAGGTTCTCAGCCAGTGGTGGAGGAGGGAAGAGCCGGGGGCACTGCTTCTCCATAGACCCAAGGGGAAGCTGCAGCTCCGACCTCCAGGCACAAGGATCTGGGTCCTGAGGAGCCTCCAAGCCCTCAGATCCCACGATTCCCACAGCTCTCCATCTCTCCCGCAGGCCACTGGGAAAACCATCCCACCTTTCCCTCCCGGCCAACCCTGTGTCCAAGTGCTGCCTCTGGAGATTTATCCCTTTGGGCTGCTAAGCTCTGCCCCTCCAGAAGTGTCCCGTTTGAAGCTAATATTCCTGGGAGGGACAGCTTGGGTAGCATGGACCCCGTTCCCTTCGTAAGAAAAGGCCCCAGAGTCAGTTTTGATTAAGGGCATAAAGTGAGAAGATGTGGGTAAAAAGTCCCTGGTGGGTCCTCTGAGTCGCCAGGGACGGGGGGGGGGGGGCGGGGGGCGGGGAGGCTCCTGAAAATGGAAACAGGTGCTAGGAGAAGGGGCAGGGGCAGAACTGAGCCGGTTTCTCCAGGGCAGAGCAGGGGGGCAGTTTCTGTCCCCTTTGAGGTAGGTGTCCTTTAAAAGGCTGTAAAGCAGCACGATTCATAACCCCTGGTAGATGGATGAATTAGCAAATGCAGCATACATGCCATGAAATATTATTCAGTCTTTAAAAAGAGCATCCTGTCACATGGTACAACATGGGTGAATCCTGAGGTTTATCCATGTGACCGAGTGAGGAGAAGCCAATCACAAAAGGACAGACACTGTATTATTCCACTTACACAAGGTCCCTAGAATGGTCAAATTCATAGAAAATGGAACACAGGTTGCCAGGGGGATGGGGGAAATTATTGTTTAATGGGTACAGAGTCCCAGCTTGTGGTCATGAAAAGGGTTCTGCTAATTGGTTGCACAATAATGTGATTATACTTTACAACCCTGAAGTGTGCCCTAAAACATGCTTCAGATGGTAAATTTTATGTGTGTTTTATCAAAATTGAAAAATTAAGACAATAGCCAGGCACCTATAATCCCTCAGGAGGGATTTGCAATCCTCCTCTGGAAGCTGAGGCAGGAGGATTGCAAGTTCAAAGTCAGCTTCAGTAACTTAATGAGGCCCTAACCAAGTTAGTGAGACACTGTCTTAAATTTTTAAAAATGTAAAAAAAAAAAAAAAAAAAAAAAAGGTTAGGGATGTGGCTCAGTGGTTGAGTGCCCTTGAGTTCAGTCCCTGGTACAAAATAAATAAATAAATAAATGAAACATTACAACCAAGAAAAAATGAGGGGTAGAATATTTCAGCAGGCAGGAGCTGAGTTCCACTTCGTGCTGGACACTGCTGTCAGGTCAGAGGTTTGAGGCAGGACTCTGGAAAGAGCCTACAGTGACCAGAAGACCAGAGCTGGGCTCATCTGGCTGCAGTTGGGAAAGGGATTCCCTAGGTTTCTCCAATCCCTTCAGAGAGACACCAGTGAAGCTCTTCTGGACCACAATTATATCATGTATGTGTAAGTACTTGCAAGAAGGGCCAGTTGTGATAGAACCAAAGTGTTCAGTGCATAAAAAGACAAGACTTTTTTTAATGGGTAATGAGTGCAGCCACACTGAAGCTGGACCAGAAGCAAAGCTCACCCTCAGAACTGCATGTGAGAGTGTGGCCATCATGTATGGGGGCGGGGGGGGCATCCAGGTGTAGGTAACCTCTGCATCAATTAGGATGCTCTGTGAATTACTGTATGTGCACACCTGTGTGTAGGTTGGGAGGACCCTATCGTGGATAATGTGCACAGTCACATTATGTTGCTCTGTGGATCTGTGCATGTGCACACCTGTGTGCATGCATGTGTGTGTGTAGTGTGTGTGTGTGAAGGAGGCCCTGGTGTAGGTAATGTGTGCGGCCAAATAAGATGCTCTGACTGAATGTGTGTGTGTGTGTGTGTGTGTGTGTGTGTGTGTGTGTGCTCTCACTGGTACCGGTGTGTGCTGGGGGGTGCTCAGTGTGGGTAACCAGTGCAGCCACATGGCATGCTCTGGCTCGGTGTGATCGTGGGTATGCAGGTGCATGTGCAGACCTAAGACATGTCTGTGTAGAGGCTGACGCGCCCCACCTGTCTGGGTCTGGCAAGGGCCCACGACTGACTCTGAGATGAGATCCTACAGACGGATGGATGGGGCGACGCTTCCTGCTCCGATCCCTAACTCATTATTAAGCTCCTCGCTCTTTGCAGACGCTCCCTGCGCCTCCCCCGCTCCGGGCTGCAGCGGCGCAGGCGCCGGGCCGAGCCGAGCGCCGAGCGGGGAGCGGGCGATCGCGCTCCGGGCCGGGGTCCCCGGGGAGCAGGTGAGCGACCCGCGCCGCGCGGCCCCCACGGCCCTGGGCGAGGACGCCGCCCGGCCGCGCTGCGCCAGCGCCCCCGCCTTCCCTGCTGGCAGTACCCGCCTCGCCTCTGCTGGCATCCTCCTCCTCCCCCTGCCTGGCTGCCGGGCATCCCTCCTCCCTGCCTGGCATCCCTCCTCCCTGCCTGGCATCCCTCCTCCCTGCCTGGCATGTCCCCCTTCTCCCTCCTGTCTGGCATCTCTTCCCTCCCTCTGCCTGGCATCCCCTCTGTCCCCTAACTGGCACCCCTTCTTATACCTTCCCTGGCACACACCCCCACCTGGCACATCCCCTCGCCCCACCTGGCATCTCCCTCTCCCTTTCTGGCACCGTCCTCCTTTCCCGATGTCTGCCCCCACTCCTGACTCTTCACCCCGCCCCAGTCTCGTGCCTCTCCCTCCTGCCCCCTGGTACCTCCTGCCTGACTGGCCGCTCTCCATCTCCTCTCCCCTGCCCGGCTCCCTCCCCTCCACCCCCATGGCTCCCTCCCCTCCCTCCACCTGCACTTCCCTTCCTCCCCTGTCTGGCACCGTCCTGCCTGGCACCTTCCCTTCCTCCCCTGTCTGGCACCACCCTCCTCCCCTTGCCTGGCACCTCCCTCCTGCCTAGCACTTTCCAGACCTGCTCCTCCTGGCACCCTCTCCCTCCTTCCCTACCTAGCACCTTCCCCAGCCGGGGCACCCCTCTGGCCCCCCTTGGCTGGCATCTCCCCTACCTAGCACCTTCTTGCCCCTCCCTGGCACTTTCCCAGGCTCACCTTGGCATCCTTCTCCGTGGACATCTCTCCCGTTCATTTGTCCCTCTGTCCCCCGCCTTCCTTTGGGGCACCTCCCCCAGCTCTGGATGGGGTATCCCCTCTCCTATTCTCACCCTCCTCCTCTCCTGTCAGCTCCAGCAGCTGTCTCTGGGCCACACACACCTTCCCACCCTTACCTGCTGGGCAGGGCCTCTTCTCCAGCTTCCTCCCCTCATCCTCCTTCCTCCTCGCCATTACCACAGTGGAGCCTTCGTGGGACACATGGCCAACCCCCCCTCTGCCCACATTGTACATGTGACCCCCCAACACTCTCAAGCCCACCCCACCCCCTCCCCAGACCCAGGCCCACAGCATCATGTTCTCCCCGGGCCCAGGGGACTTCAGTTCAGAAGTTGAGTCTGACCCCAGCCCTAGATCTTCCTGCTCTTCCAGGCACAGAAGCTAGGGGATGGGTTCTGGACAGAACCAGGAGGCCACACACAGCGGGGCCTGGATGAGCTTCGGGTTCTGAGCACACTGACCTCCGGCCCACTCCCCCTGGGAATCCCCTGGTGCCAGTCACCATCCCCGCTGGTCAGCCTCCTTCACTTCCAAAGCCCAGCCCTCCCTCCACCTACTCTCTGCCCAAGGCCGCTTTCCCCTGTGAGGCCTGGGGCTGCTGGGGTCTCAGCTCCTGTCTCTCTAGTTCTCTGTCCTACAGGAAGGACCCTTGGGCCCATCTTCGCCTGCATCTGGCACACACTGTGCCCACCCCATGCTCTTCCGTGGGCCACTCAACCTCAGACTGACCTTTGCTGTCCCTCTAGACCTGATTCCTACCTATTTCCTGTCTACTTCCTCAGACCTCCTATCCAGGGAGTTTGGCCTCCTCTCCAGCCTCCTGAGGCCCTTTCGAATCTGCCTGGGGGCTGCAGATCCAGCCCACCCCTCCCATTGTCCTCTCCTTTCAGATCCTCCTCAGAATGGCCCTTGGTGCTGCAGGCGCTGTGGGCTCTGGGCCCGGGCACCGAGGGGGCACTGGATGACTCACCCAGTTGCAGGACCCTGCCATCTATGACTCCAGGCCTTCAGCACCCACCCACCGTGGTACAGGTAGGCTCTTCCTTCCCCCAAAGCCAAGAGCAGGAGCTCTGACCCTCCTAGTCTGCCAGCTCTTGGCCCTGGCCACATCGCGTGGTCCCTCGCATGTCTGCCCGCTGGACCCCTGAGTGCCCGTGCAGTGCCTCTCCTCATCCCTCCCAAGGCTGGAGCCCCCTCCTTGACTCTGCTGACATCTGTCATGTGTGCCACTTCTCCATCCCTGCACTACCTCCTGTGAGTGTCTCCCTCACCTCCTGGTGTCCCCAGGTCCTGCCCTTCAAAGCCACTCTGAGCCAGGAACACACTAGTTGGAAGCCATGTTTGGCTTCTGTGGAAAAGGTCTGGGGCTCTGGCTTCTTCCATGTTCTCCCTGCCCAGACACCCAGAGACACCGTCTCTCCCCTCACCCGGGCACGGGCATCTCGTGCACACCACAGGGGAACACATACACGTACACCCACTTGTGTAGCTCTGCTAGCTGGGGGAAGCTGTAGGTCCCCTGGCACAACTTGGGCTCAGAAACCTCCCCTGAGACATGCCCCAGCAGGCATTGGTGTCGTGAAAGGGCGAGTGGTGGCCCTGCTGTGCCACCAGTGGGCCTTGAGCTCAGCAGCTTTCCCTCAGCCATTGCATGTGACTTGGACCCTCCTGAGCCTCTTCAGAAGGTGAGCGGGGGGACCACCTGGCTAGGCCCACAGCAGCCCCCTCCTCCAGAGGGATGCACTAGGGCTTGGGATAGAAGAGCCACCTGCCAAGGCAGTCCCTTCCCTGGGAAGAAGTTAGAGTCAACTCTGAAGCTGGGGTCTGGCTACATGGCCCACCTGTCACTCTGGCCAACCCCACCTGCCGATGAGCTGGGCGCTTCCAACCCAGAAAGAGGGTAGACAGGCAACCAGGCAGAAAGTGCCCAGATGGAACAGGCCTCACACTGTGGAGGGGACACCAGGAGAGCCCTGAACAGGTGTAGTTTGAAGAGGTTCTCAGAAGACAGGGCGGGCGGGGGTGCTGGTGCTGTGGGACAAGGGACAGGATAGGCCTCTTTCAGCTTCTTCCTCCCCCAAAGGGGACAAAGAAAGCCACCCTCCTGCTGGCTGCTCCTGTACTCTCTCCCCTCTAGCCTCCAGATGGGCCCAGGCCAAGGGTAAAACAGTGCTGGGCTCTGGCTGCTGCCTGGCCCCAAGGGATTAGAGCCACATAGGGTGGCAGTGAGTGCCAGTTGCCTGATGCAGAAACTTGTATAGCTCAGGAATGCCCTGTCCACACCCAAAGCCCCAGGCCACTGTCCACAAGAAAGTCAGGTCCCCAAACTAAAGTCCCATCTCCCTACAATCTTTTGGTACCTTTTGGCACCTTAGCAGAATTGTGGATCTATTCTCAAGTCTGTGGAAGTTGACTTTTTTTTTTTTTTTGACACCAGGGATTGAACCCAGGGGCACTTAACCACTGAGCCACATCCCCAGCCCTTTTTAAAATTTTATTTAGAGACAGGGTCTCACTGAGTTGCTTAGCGCCTCGCTAGTTGCTGAGGCTGACTTTGAACTCATGATCCTCCTGCCTCAGCTTCCAGAGTCACTGGGATCAAAGGTGTGCGCCACCGCACCCAGCTGCTGTGATTGGATCTAAGCGTAGATTCCATAGAAAAGGAATCACTGGTGTATTCAGTATGTTCTTCCTAAATCAAAGGATTTAAATTCTGGGGTATCTGAGGGTGGACGCCATGTTCAATGGTGGGAGAAGCCCAGCTGGGAGGCTGCTGAGATCCCCGGGATATGAGCAGGAGCTGGCCCTCCACGTAGCAGGCCCTTATAAAGGGTGGCCTATTGGAGGTAGCCTGAGTTGAGCCCTACAGGGGTCCCTCCACAGGAGGTGTTCCCAGCGCTGTTCTTGCTGGAAGAGGGTGATTTCGCTGAAGGGTTGGGGGCGTGGAGAGGAGGTCTGAGAGGACGGGAGTTGGTAGCCGCGGGTACCTCCTGGCCCCTGGACATGGGATGATTCCTGGGAGAGATGAGGCCGTGAGGGCAAGGCACCCAGATATTGGAATCACATTAACATAAAATCGGCTTTCATTCAGTGTGGAGTTGCAGGCTCTTGGTGGCCCAGGCACATGCTCAGGCATTTGAGTGCTGGTGATGAGCCCCCGCTGCAGGCCAGCGATGGTGGGCATGAGTGGCACAGACGGGCAGCAGCTGGAGGCTGTCATGCGCTCGCCCATGGTGTGATTGCAAGTGAGTGCTCCTTGTTAGTGAGCGTTAATTGGCAGAGGTAATGAGCTGGAGGTGTCACTGGGAGGACCGGGAGGTAGATGGGGAAGGACCCTGGGCTTTGGGAATTCCAAACCCTCTGGAATTGCTGCAGCTGAGGGGCCCACCTGAGGCCACACCAAGCCTCTGGTGACTGGGAGACATCTTGTGGGGACCGTAGCTGTTGTTCCCAGTGTCGCTAAGTGGTGAGGGGCGCGGGAACCCTTGGTAATTCGCAAGAGACCATCTGAGAGGGCTGTGGCTCGCTTCAGCTGGGCTGCCATCTGGGATAACACGCTCCCTTGGTTTGCTTCCTGGGCTGCGAAACCAGTTTCTCTGTGACCTAAACTTACTTCCAGGGAATTTGAGAATGTGCCTTATGAGCGTGTTCCCCACACATGCCTTTGCTGGAATTTACAAACTTGGATCATCTCCCACGCGAATCATTTTTCCAGACTGAAGAACGTTCTGGGGCCTGGAGTGGGGAGCAGGGTGCTGCGGGAGGGGTGGGGAGATGGTGCATCCTCTCACTCCAGAAAGGGCCTGAGTGGTGGTGTGCACACCTAATGGGAGAATCAGGACAGAGGGAAGGTGGGGTGGGGACACACACAGTGCCTAAGGGTGAGGTCAGTGCACGAAATGTCAACCCTCAGGTCCCAAGACCCCTGTTGCCATGAGTCACCTTGTTCTTAAGACAGAAACCAAACCACTTGTTCAAATCACTGTGGTTTTCCGGTCCTATCTCCTCTGGATGTCATAAAGGGGACACAGTGTGACAAAGTTAAGCAGTGTCCTGAACAATATTCTAACAGTTTCCTAGGGCCATGGCAAGGACTGGCACAATCCTGTCCAGCCAAATAAATATATTGGACCCTGCTTAATCCAAAGAAAAAACGGAGAGCCACGAGAGGAGTGCATTGCCTCCTACAGGAAATACTCCCCGTGTTCATATTTACAACAGCGTTTCCAATAAATATTGGGCAGCAGGAAGGTTTTCCACAGCTGAGAATTAAGTAGAGTCAGTTCTCCTGGCTGAGAGGATAGCTGTAGGAAACAAAGAACTCCATCAGCACGCATGACAGCAGGTGGGTTTGGAGGAGGACAGTCCTTACCCACTAGGTCCTGAACCCACCAGGGGCTAGGCAGAGAGGTCAGGGACACATTAAGAGGGGAAGTGGAGAAGGAGGCATGACCCTGGGGCCTACATGTGGAAGGCAGGCCCTGTGCCCCTCCTGGCTTGCTTCCTGGGGACACAGGAACAGGAGCAGATGGTCCATACTGGGCCGACTCCCCAAGAGAGAAGGGCTGGCCACAGGGAAAATCGCCCTGGTTTCAGCCTCTAGTCCCTCACCCCGAGAGAGCGATGGATGTGTCCTGTGTCAGACCCTCCCCACCTCATCAGGCCGAGCATCACCCACCAGGAGGAAGGGCTCAGAGAGGGGCAGGGGGTGACTCCAAGGCCTCCTCTTCTGGGGAATAGAGTAGAAGTTTCCTTGTGGACACTTGAGGACAAAGGGTGGGGTCCCCTCAGCAGCGCGGGGAGCCAGCCACACAGCTGGACAGTGACATCAGTGTTCAAGTCCATATCCTTCCTGGGGACAAGGGCCACTTCCCTCCACTGGGTTTTATTTCCCTCATACATCCCCACTCCGTCCACTTGCTCCTTCCCAAGCCACCCTCCCCCAGTCCGTGCCACTCTTGTCCTCTGCCAGACCCCTGAGGTAGCCACCTAACTGGGTGCCTGCTCCTGACCCCCCCCGGGCGGGGTAGGCAGGTTGGACTTCCTGAAGAAGCCCCAGCCCTTTGGCTGCTCCTCATGGCTTCCAGCTGCTGCCTCACTCGGGCCCTTTGTGGATGTCCCTTCTGCCTCCACACCTGACCTGGCTCCCTTTGCCTGGCTCACTGCAGTCCCTCTGTGGCCCTCCTTCCCAACTTTGTCCCACCCCTGATTAGGAATGAAGTCCCACCATCTGAAGCCTCACAGGATGCATTGAAACATTTAATTGTGGTGCTCTTTAAAGGCATGGGTTGCGCTGTGCTTTTACCAGAACTCTTCTTGCCTCGGTTTCCCCTCAAGCCCCCACTTTTCCACCATCCTCGTCTTCCTTCAGAGGAAAACCCAGGGCTGGGGTGCAGCTCAGAGTGGAGCACATGCTTAGCCCGCACACGTCTCTGCATGGACAGACCAATGAGGTGAGGTGGCTCTGACAGTGACTCCCGTGCTCTTGTGCTGCTGGCCTCCCCCCGAGCACATGGATGTCTGAACAGCTCCATGCACGAGCTCCTGACTCACAGGGCAGGTCCCTCCGGCAGGTCCCCTGTCGGCAGGCTCTCCATATTCCAGCTTCTTCCCTCTTCGGGTGTTGCCATGGCGGTGGAGAATCTTCCTCCCCTGGCCTTGCTCTGGACCTTGGGAGTCACAGAGAGTAGACCTTCCTGTGCCCAGCCACCTGAAAGCCCTTGGAGGCGGTTCTCCTGGCCCTGCCTCCTCCCAGGGACATTGACTTCCGCGCCTTCACGGGTTCTTTCCTGCAGGCCTGCAGGCCGCTCACTTCCTGTGGGTCTGTTAGGTGAGCACTGCCCCATGCCAGCCAGGCCCCGTGTCCCGGCTGCAGAGTGAGACATCGGCCTTTCTACAAGGACTCAGTGACCTGAGCTCTGCCCCTCTGCGTAAGGCCAGGCATGGGATGGATTCCCATATGGCCCCCGGTGGTCACACTTGGGTTGAAATGTGGTGCTTGGCGTGACTCCTGCAGTAGGCGCCATCTGTAG